GAGGACCCAGATTGTTGTTGGGGGCGATATGCTGACTCTGTAAACCGCTTAGAGAGGGCTGAAAGCCCTATGAAGCGGTATATAAATCTAACTGCTATTGCTATTAATTGCAAGACGTTTATTAGCTACAGTGGAAGTTGGTGACCAAAGGAGAAAGTGGCAGGGACCTACAGATAGTCCTTGACTTACAACAGTTTGTTTAGTGACTGTTTAGTTACAACAGCACTGAAAAAAGTGACATGACCACTTTTCACACTTATGACCCTTGCAGCATTCTCCATGCTCATGTGATTTACACTCGGAGGCTTGACAACTGACAATTCACACGTATGATGGTTGTAGTGTCCAGGGATCATGTGACCCACTTTTGTGACCTTCTGACACGCAAAGTCAGTGAGGAAACCAGATCCACTTAACAACCGTGTTGCTAATTTAACAGCTGCAGTGATTCGCTCAACAAATGTGGAAAGAAAGGCCAGAACTCACTTAACGGATTTCTCACTTAGCAACATAAATGTTAGGTTCAATAGTGGTCATAAGTCTAAGACTACCTGTACATTGCACCTTGTCCTCCTTGTCTCTTGAAGCATAGCAGGGTTTGTTTTAACCAGCTGGAAGGCCATATGTTTATTTCGGGTTTGAAATCGCACATATTTTCCATTTTATCTTATGCTCCCATTATACAAATAAACTTTTGCACATAATGAGTGGCTCTCTCCTTTATTGATGCCTAGGAAAATCCTTGCAATATGCTACACGGGTTTAATCCATTCTGGCCTGCGTTAAATGAGTGATGATAATGTTTGCAGCCCCGTCAGCTCAGAGGCCATTTGGTTTAATTAATGGACATAAAAATCCTTGTCTGGAAAGACAAACACATTTCATACCTTGGTGCTTTGCAAATGTTTCTTTAAGCTATCAGTATTTAAAGAGGGCTGTATAGGGGGGATTCTTTCTGTCGTTTCATCTATCCATTTCTTCAGAGAGTCAACGTAACCCCTGAATGCATCAATTTGTTGTTGGCAAGAGGATACATCCTTCTCTCTATAAAATTAAAAAAAACAGAAAGAATGAATTGGGGAAGTTACGGGCTCCATGACCTCGGGATTAAATATGTAGTACTTTTCTAAGTTAAACCAGTTGTAAAAGCTGTATTCAGAGTGCCGATATATATATTGAAATAATTTGATAAAGTTAACGAACAGGTGGGACAAAAAACTCCTTGAGAAGGCATACTGCAACTGTTCAAGCAGAGACTGGCAAAAGGTTCTACAGATATCCAGATCTTAAGCTTTAAAAATGATTACCATCACCTTGAGTTGCACAGGGAAGAAAACTGGCGACTAGTTTAACTGTCACACCAGAGATGCACCACCGGCATACCACATCGCTGCATCCGTAACTATTTAAATGTTGCATTCTGGACCATTTGCAGCTTCTACATAATATACACAAGAGCCAAGGTGGCACAGTGGTTAAATGCAGCACTGCAGGCTACTGCTAGATCAGCAGGTCAGCGGTTCAAATCTCACCGGCTCAGGGTTGA